GACAGGTATTTACTTCATTCCAAAAGAATTTTTGTAAACTTATGATTAATTCATCTGGAAAGTCTTCCAACTGGACGACTTAGTAGAAGACTTATAATTAAGTCGGCTGGAAAGACTTACAGCTGGATGACTTAGTAGAAGACTTATAATTAACTCGTCTGGGAACACTATTCAGACGACTTATTATTAAGTCGTCTTCTAAGTCATCCAGCTGGAAGACTTTCCAGACGACTTAATAATAAGTTTTCTACGAAGTCTTTTCTTTCCCTCTTTCTTAATCCGTCAAATATCTAAGTTTATATCTTCTAGTTACTGTAGACTAGGGTGATCAACTTTGTTGAGAAGGAAATTTGTGAAATGTTTCCACAATGGGACTCTGATGTTGAGTATCCGTCCGCGAAGAACATAATTAAACTCATGTATAATGAGAGACCGTGGAAGTGGACCATAGATTGCTGGGAAGTCACCGGTACTTGGGTCAATACAAAGCTGGCAGTTTTGAGTCCAGCGAAGAAAACGATAGCTCTGGTGAAGGATGAAAAAGACAGTGTAAGACCTCTTAAGAAAGCTCGTAAAGAGCCTAGTGAAGAGGCACCTGAAGGACGTACTCGACGCCATGATTGAAGAGGTTCCTACAGAGCCTCGTCCAGAGGTTCCTACAGAGGTTAGGTACGGAGACTCGTCCAGAGGTGACTATCACTGTTAGTGGGCTGACCAAAGAGGATATTGAAAGAATGTTGAAGGATTCTTTGAAGGACGTACTCGATGCCATGAATCAAGGGTTTGGGACATGCCTTAAGGAGATCAAGTATCTGTCTGAAAGGGTGGAAACTGTGGAGAAGATCGTTGGTATCACCAAAAAAGGGAAAGGGGCATCATCTCAAAACACTACCTCTCAACCTAAAACGCACGAACTCGGGGTTAGTGAAGCATCCTCTCGCAACAAGAAATTGACTAGACAAAGTCTTAAGAATAAGAAATGAAAGTTGGATTTCCTTTGTATCTTGTATGAAAGAACATGTGTGCTTTGTTTATAGTGTGCTTGTTTTGGTTCTATTTATGGATTTTGTATATGGATTTTCTTTCATGTTTGAAATGGATCTTTGGTTATTATTGTTTGAAATGGATCTTTGTTTATAGTGTGCTTGTTTTGTTTTGGTTAATATTGCAGAGTGAAAATGTTAATGGGGCGAGCACAGAAAGGAAGAGCTTGCTGGGGGTAAAGCAAAAGATTTGTCTGCAGATGATAGTTCCTCGAAAGAGATGAGTATAGTTCCGAGCCAGGCCGGGGATAAACTTCCAGAATCAAGCTTTCCTCCAGAATCGAGCCTTGTTCTATTGGAGAAACAACTACCCACTGTTTCAGATTTACTACAGGAGGATGCTAGATATCAGGAAAAGAGGGAAAACACTTTGGCAGGTATAGGTGCGAAGGGAAACTTGCTGCCTCACAGCAATCTCCTTATACGGAAAACAGCACGGCCAAAGTGATCATTCCAAACAAAAAGCAAGCTCCAGACTATAATCTTTTTGGACCACCTAACAAAAGAAAGTTGAAGGAGCTCGTTGACTGGTTGAAAATTGATCCGTAAGTGATTGCTTTTTCCATAATAGCTTGCTTTAGTCTACAAAACTGATTGCTTTTCAACATTTTGTGTTTGTAGTCAGTAGAACACACCTCTCGACAAAAAAAAAACACGTACATCACGAACTAAGTGGTATCACACCATCCGGACCTCTTTATCTTGGCTGGAAGACTATGTAAGTCTTCTGCTATGACTTATATCTTCTAGCCAATGGAAATATATGAAAATTCTCATCTTGTGCGTATGCAACTAACACCTCTATAATTCCCACTTAGGTGAGTCTCATCCATCACAATGACTCTTCTCTGATACTTAGGTGAGTCTCATCCACCACAATGACCCTTCTCTGGTACTTTAAACATTGGATAAAAGTTCCAAAAAAGAGAAGTTGATACTTAAATCTATTGATAGAATCAAAATCTATAGCCGTGATAGAATCGGGATTTGCTAAGAAGATTTGCGTGAGATATGATGGCAGACACGAATATCCATCTTCTCCTGAAGTGCTATGTATGAAGTTGTGTAATCAAGCATCATGCCAAACATGTTCTTCATTGCATCAGTGATATGCTGCGGAGTCAACCCATCAATGACTCCAACACAATCAATGAAAAGCCTACCAACATACTTCGGAGTACAGTGTCTCCGCTGAGCGATTCGGTCTCCCACCGAGCATGTATGTGTTTCCACATACTTTGTTACCCAAAACGTGTTTGACCCATGTTTCACACTCGCTCTGATCTTCCATCCGCAACCACTAACCGACATGTTACCACAAGGAGAGTTTCCGTTGACTTGTATATTCTGAAGGAGAACTTACGCCTCATTGATGTCAACCGCAGCTCTGAAAGCAGTGCATCCTTGCTAACAAAATTCTGGTTGACATAAATAATGTTACCTTTCGATCTTCCTCCTTCAATAGCATATGTATTTTCTTCGGAATTGTCCGCTCATAGCACGATAGAAGCGTCTGATTATATGGGTTCAGAAAAAGGGGGTTCAAGTTATTTGAAATCTTCAAAACACATATCATCATCTTCTTCCTCATCCTCATCTTAACATTTCTATAAACACTGTAATCCTCACCATTCTCGTCCGCTTCGGCAACAATAGAGATATCAGCATCCTCCTCCCCCATCATCCTTCTCCCCATCATCCTTCTCATCTTTAACCAAATCACCATCATCATTTTCAAAACATTCATCAGCTTCATCAGCTTCTTCCTTTCCTCTGAAATCGTTTCCACCTTGCTACGGCTTGATACACAAAGCCGTACTCCATGTGTTTTGGTTATCTCGAGCAAGTTTCGAACTTGTCTATCACTTGTAACATAAATAGGAGGGGATGTCTGGATCCATATGTTGAATCATTTATGCTGGTAGTAAATAGGTTATCTCAACAGATTATTTGCTCATGTCCAGGTTAAAATCTTCTTGAACCATTGAAACCAGTTCAGCATGTGTCGAACCTTCACTCAAAAGAAAAATTCTCGCTCCTTTAAATTATCAACCAAAAAATCCCAACAGCCATCTCTGAACAACCATTCTCCATACACTGCATGTAAATGACTCATCATTGGCAAAAATTCAAAATGAAACACATTAGTAAACGTAGAGAAAATGAAAATTTACTAAACACTGACGCCAACGACATACCAGTAAGTCGTCTAGAAGACATGTCATTTTTGCAATTGACTTTTCAATGGGATGACTTAATTGTATGTCGTCTAGCTTTGTTTGTTAAAAAAAAACTCTAGACGACTTACCATTAAGTCGTCTAGGATAAACGGATTAGTTTTGGATTTGACCAACTTGTCTCAGATATTTGACTTTTCCTGGACGACTTACCAGTAAGTCGTTTCTGGGATAACAAAAATTTCTTAATTAAAGCTAGACGACTTATATGTAAGTCGTCTCATGTTAGTTTGCAATTCGAAAAAAAAACTTAAATTTTTTACTTTTTCCAGACGAATTAGTTGAAAGTTGTCCAGTTTGACGACTTACGAGAAAGTCGTCCGAGATAAGCAAGGTTTGACGAGAATCTCCGACAAAAATCTGGACGACTTTTTTTATCATGGAAGACTTTCAAGTAAGTCGGACGACTTTCAAGTAAGTCGGACGACTTTCAAGTAAGTCGGACGACTTTCAAGTAAGTCGGACGACTTTCAAGTAAGTCGGACGACTTTCAAGTAAGTCGGACGACTTTCAAGTAAGTCGGACGACTTTCAAGTAAGTCTTCTTACTGGATGACTTCCGTGTAAATCGTCTGAAAAAAGTAAAATATTTAAGTTTTATTTTCCAGTTGAAAAACTAACCTGAGACGACTTACAGATAAGTCGTCTAGCATTAATAAAGTATTGAAATTTTTGTTTTTCGAGAGACAGTCGTCCAGGAAAAATTAAATAACTGACACAATTCGATAAAATGCAAAACTAACCCGTTTATCCTCGATGACTTAATGGTAACTCGTCTACGGTATTCTCTAGATTTTTTTTAACAAACAAAGCTAGAGGACTTAGAAGTAAGTCATCTGTTTGACTAGAAAACTTACCCGTAAGTCTTTTACAGCCAGACGACTTACGAGTAAGTCTTCTATGCGAAAAGATCTGTTAAAAATTTCAATTTCATACCTTAAACTAGTGAGATGACTTCCTTAGCATATGGAGTCTTCTCTAACCACTCAGAACCTCAAACGAAAGTAACCCACCAAGAATAGTAAGTTTGAATTGCTCTATCAACCATAAAATATTTTTGAATCAAAAGCTTGAGTTTTTTGGATGAATATGAAGACAAAATGAAAGAGATGTTGTTTTTAGTTCATAACGAGAAAGAGAGCGTGTAAATCGATTTTAGGTGCATTAAGAGCTTCAAATTGGTTGTTCATGGTAGTTAGGATATTGATGGCAATGTCAATCTTGTAAATACTTGAAGATGATGAGGTTGAGGTTGAGAGAGTAAAAAAAATAATTTTCAAAAAAAAAATAATAACATTTTTGTAAATAATGTGAACAAGTAGACTGAATAAGACCAAAAAAAAAGATTAGTTTTGTGTTTGATATTTAGTTTTGAATCAAATTTGCCAAAACCCCTACATTCTATATATATACTATTATCGTATTATAGATAAGTTCCTAATCTACAGTAATAAATAACATACAATAATTTGACAAACACGAGAATATCTAACTTAACAATATATTCACGTTTCTATTTTTTACTTATTTATCGAAGATATTAATTAATTACTTTAATATATATACATAAAAACTTAAATATTCTTCACTAAAGGTACTAATAATAGTATTTTTTTCTATAAATTAGTCATTTACATATTCTATTTTTTTCCAAAAGTATAAATATTTATAAAAAACATATGTCATATCGTATTTTTAAAATTATATTATTAAAAATGGTGATAACACATCATTAAATTAGAAAACAAATCACTGAGAAGATCTTCGAATACAGCTCGAGATACATTGTTCCAAGTAACATCATGAGGCGCTTTATTTATTGTAACATATATATTCGATAGCCAAATACTGAGTCACTATTCTCACATAGAGCTAACGAAATCAACGATTTCAATCATATCATGGAGTTGAGAGTTGGAATTCACCACCCTACAATTCAACCTGATCTCTCCCTGAGTTCCCGTAAGTGGTGTAATGTTTCCCATCCTATTCATGGCCTCCACAAACGCATCGAAGAATGTTTGTGTGTCATCAGCATATGCTCTCACCAACGGGATTGTGTCAGTGGCGTTGGGGCTAGAGAACAACTCTTGGTCGGTCTGGATAAGACCGTTCTGTTCTTTGAGATTCACATAGTATTTGTTGTCGAAAACTGTTGGGGTATGCTGATCCAAATCTACCAAGGCCTTTAGATTGCCATTAAGGGGACATAGTCCACGAAGAGTTTGGAGGTAAGTAGTGTTGAGAGTAGGATCAGGTAAACCAGTTTTGTTGAAATTGTATAGTCTATCCTTAATGTACAGGCACTGACTTTTGCCAAATGTGTGACCCCCTGACAAAAGAATGACCACATGTTTAATAATAAACTCGCTAATTACAACAAAGGATAGTTAATAAGTTCTTGTCAATTACCGGAGAGAGCAAGGACGGTCGAGGCCAACTTTAATAAACATGGCTTTGAGTTGAGGAAGTGTGAGGAATGGAGGTGGAAGACTTACATTAGCTAGTTCGAAAAATGCTTGTAAGCTGTCTCTTCTCCCCAAAGAAACTCTCCAAGAAGGACCTCCTGCCTATATATTCAGAATAATATTTTCTTTGAACAATATTTTGTCCGATCTTATAGAGAGATTATTCTTATTAGTTGACAATTTTGATGGGAAAATATAAAAATAAACATGTAATTAAATCCTTGATTATATAGTCGGACTGAAGCTTTTAACTCTACTTCTTGAAAATATGATTATTACTTTAGTCAGTTCTCCCAACCAAGTATATTCTCGATCGAGATATAAATTTGCTAATGATCTATATCAAACATGTCAAGTTTTCTTCATGATACCACGCGTTTTGAATACTTCTCGATCAGTTTTAAATACATGTCACATTGTTGAAAAGCTTTCAGATATGATGATGCAATGACCCTCAGGTTTTCCACAAGATAATATTGCATTTCAAATTCTTTTCTATGCTTATAAGCTATAAACACTAAACTTTGAAGTTTCTTCATTGTACAATCGATTTTTTTGTCCGAATAAATTTAACATTATTTCAGAAAAAAATTAATAATGAGTAATTATATATATAGATCGTGACGTTCTCGATCAACTTTTTTTTTTCAAATTTAGGTACTAGTGTTGATAATGTATAGTGACGACGACTTTGATATATATTAAGACTGGGAAAGTATATATTTGTAATGAATCATAGAAAACGGATCAATAGAACATACCAAGGTGACAGATTGTTGAGCAGCGATGGTGAGCATATCTGCGCATGAAACGGTTCTCGGGCAAGCCCTCTCCACTGCGGCTTTCATTGTGTCAATCACAGGAAATCCTCTAGCCGAGTTTGCTTCTCCACCTGCATCTTTCTCTGTTCGGAATGATGTTGAGTTGTCTAGCAAGATCGATGCGTCACAACCCTTTCATATTTACAATATTATTCAACAAATAACTAATCAATTTATAACATCCATATAAACTTTTCTAAACCATGTTTTACTCAATGGAAAGTAACATGACGTAAACAAATATTAATAGAAAGATAAGAAAATCCATTATTACATATGCCGATTAGATAATTTCAAAATGTTACTTTTATATTAATTAATGCGTTACGGGTTGAATATATAGATACAGAGATTTTTATTGAGAAATGCCTTTAATATAACTAAAAATTGTGATAAAAATAAAAAAATTCAAAATAAAATTGATTAAAACATAAAAGATAAAAAATAAATATATTCATTAAAAGATAAAAAAAAATATAACCGTATTTATAAGTGTATGATTAATTATATATATAATATTTTAAACTATTTTAAAAATATATATAATAAATATATAAAATATTTGGATTTAGAGTTAAGTGATTATGATTTAGGTTGTAAATGATAACGTTAGGAGTACGGTAGCCATAGGTTTGTAATTTAGTTTTTTATTCTTTAATAGAACATTATTTTGAAATAAATTCTCCTTAATTTTATTAATTTTTCAAAAATATTTTTTTTTGTACTACCTATGGGATTTGTACGACACTCTGCTCTTCTTATATACATAGCGATAATGTAACGCAAATAACCCCTGTGCTGGGTGATGTCAAAGAAAAAAAATACCTGTGGGGGTGAATAAAAGATCTTACTTATTTATACGTTTTGGCATCATCACTGAAACTAACCAGTGACCTGACCAATCATTATTGTCGAACATGATAAGTACATTCATTTTCTTTTGCCAGCTTAATAATTTGATAAATGAAATAAAATATGGTGTATTATCCAAAGCCAAAAGACAAAATCACCAATGGAAAACAAAAATATGATACCTAATCATGTGAAAAAACTTATACTGATTAACTTATACTGTACATAAACTGAATTTACAATCTAATTTCCAGTATAACACTTACTTGGTAACACAAAAACAGTGGCAATTATAATTAATTTAAAAAAGAGAGTGTATTAACACCCAAGTCAATGTGAAAATTATGTTGAAATATTATACTTGTTATCATTCTTTTAGGTTTTACCTGATTTGCTAAGATATTTAAAAAAAAAACTTTTTGCTAAAAGTATTTTTAGCAAAAAGTTGGAACACATAGATTATTAGCGAGGCAATAGAAAGATGAAGAATAATATTTTACATTGACAAAGCAATCGTGGAAGTGAAGACGAAGGATGCTCGCAGCAATACGAGGGTCCGATCTTAGCTCGTTGACAATGGTGTCTCGTACGATGTTAGTGACGTTTGGACATGAAGTGTCGTAAAAGGTAGGTGTAAGTTGAGCATCGGACAGAGACGCATGAAACACAAGACATGCCAATGCGATTAAAATTGTCCAAGTAGACAAAGTAGAAAACGAATAAGCGAAATGCATTTTCTAAAGACAAGGAAATGAGGACAGTCTCTGAACTTGGGGAATGCTTTTATAGGCAACACGGGTATAACTAACTTGGAGTCTTTATTTCTCAACTGAAGGATTTTCTTTCTATCAACAAAATGAAGACCTTATACTAAAAGAATACTTTTCATTCTGTCAATTATTTCACCTAATAGTTATTTTCTTGTAACATTAATCAAAAGTTTAAAATAGGCGCTGGATTTCCCATTTCTACATAAAAGAGGAACTGTAATAAAGTAAACATATATAATGTATCAACTGTTTTTTGTAACTATGGTCGAGGTCAAAATAATTTCCCTAGAGGCTTAAGCCAACAAATAACCCGAATTCCATTTTTTCAAAGCACTAGCAAATATCTCGTTTCTGACAAGTTCAAACCCAAGACAAACGATTTTACGTTTTACCTCAAATTCCCTTCTTACCAGTAGACTTTTTTTCTTTTATATTAAATGTCACTACATGCTCTCTAAACTGAAAGCCAATAGAAAATTCTGATACTTAGGTTTCTTATATATGTCACTAATTTCGTCACTTCTTCAAAACTTATCTAAATACAGGAATTATCTTGATTTATTATCGTCTCAAACTATTTGCAAGTCGTCTTCAAATCCTTAAGAAAAAATATATCTAATATTGTTAAACAGACTAATAATATTATATATATATATATATATATATATGTTTCCAATTTTTCTGAGAAAATAAATTCATTAAAGAAAAAGTGAAAGATTTTTTTTAAGAAAGATGTTACATAAAGCGAAGAAATGCACATCACAAATCTTAAACCAACTTGGAATGGGGGCAATGAAAATAAACACTAAGAATAAAAGTTAACTCTAAGGCAAGTGTCGTTCGAATTAACAATTTAATTTCTGAATAAAAATGGTTTAATTAATAAGAATAAATACAATCACTAAGAAAATTGCTTGGAACCTTGTACAAAGAGAAAAGTTCGAGATAATAATACATTTCGAGTTCAGTTCACCTGCTTCATGAAACTAAATTAAATTGCTCATGAATATTCAAATGGATACTTATGCTTGCTCTCATCCCATTTGTATACCCGAAAAAAACTGTCAATAGATTACACCTCCCTTAACTAGATTAAATCTTTCCATATGTATATATCTAGAATTTTCCGGGTTAAACAAAGAAAATCACTAACAAATCAAATAGAATGAATGAAGATGTTAAACAAAACTTAAATATAAAACAAAAAATGAACACAAGGAAAATGAACACTATCTTAAAGTTGACATATACAATACTTTTATATTTTTATTGTATATTCTTATGTTTGTAATTGTTTTCAATCTAATATACTAAACTCGTTGATTATCATTTTGTTTTCAGTTTTAACCTTCCACTAGATTTTGATCCGCGCTTTAAAAGCGCCGGATTATTATTTGGTTGACAAAAAAATATTCAATTCAAACTTTATATAATTTATTTTGTTTTATTTTTATATAATTTGTATTGTGTATATGATTTATTTGAATAATTTTGCAGGTGAGTTATATTAAAATTTTAATTTATTTTCCCTCATACTATATAATTTTTTTTATAATTATGTTAGATTTTAACCCGTATTATAATGAAATATTTTTATTTAAAAATAAAATTTAAAATATTTGCACAATTTCAAAAGTCAACTACAGTTTTTGTTTACATATCGATGTCACATTAGTACCCATTTGTGATATGTTGCTTATGTTAATCTCATTTAAAGTTTAACTATGTGATAAAAATTAGAATCATATTAGTTATAGTATTTAGGTGAGTTTTATACGAAGTAAACCTATAATGTATGAGGATGATGTGCCAGAAATATAATTAGGAACTTACTATATCATGTATATCAGAACATAAAAAGAATTGTAATTAAGGCTTAGGAGATGTATTATTAACAGTTTACATCAAACTATTAATAGTAAACATAAACTATTAATAGTAAACATCCACAGTGATTGAAAATTTCAGCATATATAATGTGAACTTAAACAATTATAATATGCCAATATGCCAAGTCTATTGTAATGTGAAATAAATGGTTATAATATGAAAAACGTCAAACGAAAATATTTCGATATGACCATCGTCTTTTGTGAATATATATTTATTTCTTAGTAAAGGTGATATAGTGTGTTTTTATTTGGTGATGTTACTTATGTATGAGTTGTGAACTAAGTGAAGAGGAAATACATATTATAATTATGTAGTTTAAAAAGTGTATCCGTATAATTCATATGAGTGTTTTAAAGAAAGTTGCATTAACCGATTCTGAATTTAAATCATTTCAATAGAAAATCTTGTACGTAATTAATCTAGTAATTATACCATATAATTAAATATGGTAGGCGAATATTAAGATGCTTTAACTGATTTTATTAAGATTTTAGGTGGTTTAATTAGTATAGATATGTTGAAAATTAATTATAACATTTTAGTTTGAAAATAATTAATTTTATTAACCTTATATGTAGGAATGGCATACCATTGTAAATAACTCCAAAAATCAAGGGAAGAATCCTATTAGGGATTCTGCTTTAATAATATAGATGATTGAACTTTTAATAAATAGAGAATATTATCAATTTTGTTTGTTTCTTCAAATCTATACACGTTCATGATTTTTAATTAATAACAATATGATTGTTGCTTTCCATTAAGAGAGATGAATAGAGAGATGTTTTTAATAAATAAATTATTTGAATACTATAAAACATAAATAAATATATATACATATATATATATTTGACATACTAAATTTAACATTTAGTTTGGTTAGTGCAGGTAAAACTGTACATATAAAGAATATAGATAGGAAGAAATAAAGTTATTAGGATGAATAATTTGGAGGATTTCAGTAAATGATTTGAAGTAGTTGGAAAAAAATACTGATATATTTTTGACATTGGATTTTTTTTTTTATCTCACTGGAATAGAACTTTTGATAATGGAATTTACAACTTAGTAAAATTGTAATGCTGGGGATACATCGTGGGAAATGTCCGTAGACAATGGACGTTTCTTTTATCTGTTTTTGCTCATAATTTATTTTTATGAGTTTTAAATAAGTAGTTAAGTTAATTTAGGAAAAGAGTAATTAAATTAAGAAAAGACATTGAAAGCTTTTATTTAGGGTTATTTAATATTTCAATGGCATTGCGTTGTAAATATTGTAGAAATCTAAGGGGTATTTTATCTGTGTACTTTTGTTTTAATAGATTAGATGCTCGTTCTTCGATTCGTAGGTTGCATAGGATAGGATGCGAAGGATACCGTGTTAATTTTTGGAGTTTTGAAAATATTATTTATTAACCATATAATCATCACATGATCTTTTAAGAGAACATTCATCATTTTACAAATTCAGCTCATTCACACTTAACTATGTAGTTCATTTTGAACAAATAATCAAAACGACAAATGCATATGGTGACAAAAATAGTCATCAGTTCTCTTAAGATTATTCACATGCATCACCATATACCAGAAATCATGATGTTACAATCACCCAGATTCTCATCGTGCAACGTCTTCCTTACAAACCAAAACAAGTTTATAACCAACTTTCGGTCATAACAGAAAAGGCTAACCAGCTCTAATATATATGATTCTGACTGTCCATAACTAATGGAGTATTCACGCTTGTTCTCTCGACCGGTAAGTCCCATCCATGCAGCAGTTAATGCGTTAGTTTTTTGGAGGCGCAAATTTTTCTTTTACTAACTATGCAATCATCACATTATTTTTCTTTGTGTTTTGATTTCTGATATACCATGATTTTGATCCGCTTTTAGCCATGGTATTGATATGTTTTTATGAGTTTTATATATGTTTTGGAGTCTATTAGGTATGTTTTCAGGTTCAGGAGCACTTTGGAGTAAAGTGATGATTTAGGTGCCCTTTTGGAGCTTAAATGAGAGTTTTCTGCGATGACTATGAAGATCAGACAATGAGGATACATATCGATCGATACACACCTTGTGTAATCGATCGATGACGCTTCTATTGAAGATGAAGTCGAGATACTCCATCGATCGATGTACACCATGTACCATCGATCGATATGATGCGTGGAGAACAAGTCCAACTTGGCCGACTTGAAGCCCAAGTCCTCCCAATATTACAATAATGCCCCTGACGAGTTTTTAACCTAATGGAACTCATATTTATAGTTTTTGCCATTGTGTTTGGCTAGACATGCTTTTGATACATTTTATGCCTTTTTGAATGTTTCTATTGTTCTAGTTACTTTTGTACTTGAAAAGCTTTGCATATTTTTCTTTTTCCTTTGCAATAAAGTATTTCTTTTTCATCTTAATTTCTTAAAGGTTTTAGAATTCTAGATTTAGAAGAAACACACAAAGAGATTTGTTGTTCCAAGAACAAAAAGTTCAATCTTCTATCTATGAGTTTCTATTACTACCTTGTTGTTATGAATCTCTCAGCTATGTCTCAGTAGATCTCTTTGTTAGATTTAGGGTTCAAATAGTTATGAGGGATTAGCCCCAACTATGGAACGTTGAATTGTTGATATTCATTATCCAAATGCACCCTAATGCTTACTCTAGAGTAGCTATCTAGAGTATGATCATGGATGTGATTTAACTTGTTAATCATTGTCCTGGAATCATTTGGCATGAGTTTAGATCCTCTAGGGTTGTGCAAGAGCCGGTCTATGATCTTGGTGAACACAGTTTTGATTCGATTTTATGCTATATCGATCGATACTCCTATAGAGTCATCGATCGACGGCAACCTATAACGTCCGATCTGGGGATCTTACCATCGGTCGATATTGCTGGCAATAAGATCAATGGATGTGTCTATTTAGCGACTGCTATTAGATCTATTAAGAATCGAAGTTCTCATATATCTTGCAAGCAATTCATTAAAACATCTATAGCATTATAATCCTGATTATCTGAATAGCAACCTTGAATCTAACTACTTTCTTTTATTGTTTTCAA